CGCTCGTATCCGTTTTTTTATACTCTTCATACTTGATATAAACAATATATTTGACTGCAATACTGAACTGTTCTATTTTGTTGATGACATCCTTCCATTCATTGTTGAAAACCTAGCCCACTAATTCCTACCACAGAAAAATTCCAACAAAGTTAATAACTGGAGCATCAAAAACAAAATGTAATTAAACATAACAAAGTGCAAAATCATAAGCATATCTCAAAAAAAATTTGGTACACTCCCACCACCAACTGTTTCCGTCATCTCTATATCTCTAAATTATGCAACATTATAGAAAAACGTAGAAATTGATTTAAATATAAAAAAAATACCCACTAACAAAGGCAGCGCATAAATCCCAAATTTTTCTCACCTCAGTACCTAATTAGAAGACTGAAAAAACTAGGCTTTCATAGCAAAATACAAGTAACAATATACCAAAACATTGGACTTAGTCAATTGATCCATAGTCCACAGAACAAAATATAACTTCAAAAGCACATTCATTGACAATGTATGTAAAAAACAAGCCTAAAATGATTTCTATGAAACCCAAATCATCCGCTACACATAAAAACAAAAAATAAATCTGAAATCACACGACAAAAAATCAACTTCGGGTTCAAGACACAACATACAAAAATAGTTTTGTCTAACAAACATTGCGTCTTTTAAGAAATAGAAAGCATAACTTGTACACTTGTTAAAAAAAGCAGCTACAAACTTAACTACCATAATATGTGCGTATGTGTTTATGTATATATGTATTTATGTATTTATGTATGTATGTATGTATGTATGTATGTATGTATGTATTGGAGTATGTATGTATGTATGTATGTATGTATGTATGTATGTATGTATGTATGTATGTATGTATGTATGTATGTATGTATGTATGTATGTATGTATGTATGTATGTATGTATGTATGTATGTGTATGTATGTGTATGTATGTGTATGTATGTATGTATGTATGTATGTATGTATGTATGTATGTATGTATGTATGTATGTATGTATGTATGTATGTATGTATGTATGTATGTATGTATGTATGTATGTATGTATGTATGTATGTATGTATGTATGTATGTATGTATGTATGTATGTATGTATGTATGTATGTATGTATGTATGTATATATGTATGTATGTATGTATGTATGTATGCAAAAAAGTTCATGACTACCAGATCCATGCGTGTTAAGGTGGATACCATCTAGCATTAAGTGTTCATTAGAAAATATTGAGTCATCAATAATACTATAGTTACTCAGTTTTAATTTATCATCTAAACCTATTGTCTTGAGCTCAGATTGGTTTTGTTGATTTGACAAATCGGTGTAGATAAGATTATTGAGCAAGTTGGGTTAGATTTTAAAATGATGGAAACAAGATCTTTTATTTTTTCCATGGCAATTTTATACGAATCGTTATACAAATATTCGTTTCATTATGCACATTATAGTTTTAGCAAGTTCTTTTCTTAAAAGAAGAAAATAGAATCTTCAGTACCACTGAAGATTTTATTTCTAACTTTTCCTAAACAAAACCTCTACAAATTGAGATCGTCCTACTAGCCATTTATAATTTTCATATTAGTTATTGAAATCATATAACAACGTTGCTTCTTTGTTTTTCATTAAGTTTTTTGTTAGTTACATTTTTACGTTCCTTTTTTGCAAAATTTTTATATTTAAAAGAAAACAATATCCATTTCTTTTCTGATCCAGAAAAGTTGATTTTTATTTTTTTTAAACATTTGTTTGTTATTTGATTGAAATTAATTTAACTAATAATAAAAATTGTTGATTCAGCTGGTTCAGAAAGATTAGACTTTTAAAACCTAAACATTTAACGTTTGACTGGTGAGGAACTTAAACTAACAAGTTACTTAAATGATCTTTACTTTTAGAACCGATTGTAATATTGGCATATACTTTATGACATTAATAGTTTTTTTATTTCTTGAATTGCTTGAATCTTGATTTAATTGGTCATTAAAACTATCATTTCTAAAAAGTTAACTTGTGAATCGATTTTAAATCAGACACTTATCAACTAAAACAACAAATATTTCTCTCATTTCTAATAACTCATTTTTTCAAAATTAGTTTTTTTTTTTAGATTAAAAGGCTATATTCACTACTTTTTAAGTTTTAAAACTCTTAGCTCATAATTTTTAGCTTCGATTCTAATTTTTTTTTTTAATTTTTTTTTTTTCTTTATACATGGTTGGTAATAAAAACAAGGCAGGTTTATTTGCTGGAGTTAAAAGATCTTTAAAAGACTCTTTGCCGTTTTTGAAAGAGCATCTTAAAATACTTTTTGATATAAATATATTAAGAAAGTCACTTACTTAAAATTTATCAAGTCGGCTGTTAAAATGATTCAATACATTGTCATAATATATATAAATATATATACCCAGCAAACATGCTTTCAGCGGACCGCGTTGCGCAAAGCCTGATATATAAAGTCTTTGATAATATAAAGTCCGATTTATTTTATTTATTAAATTATATTTTATAATACAAAGTCTTTATATTATAAAATATACCTAGCTATAATTATTGCTTATAAATATTAAAAGTTACATGATTTTATACCTTTATTTATATTTATAAATTATAAATATAGATATAAATATAATATATTATAATATAATATAAAGTATACTTTACTATATATTATATATAATATATTATATTTAAGTATACTTTACTATATATTATATATAATATATTATATTGAAAAAACTAAATATATTTTGTTTGCTAAACCATCTCAATCCGAGAACCTTCCACTTAAACTTCCAGAACTAACAATTAACAATATTAAAATAAAAAGAGTTTTTTCAATGAAAATACTAGGAATAAATTTCGATGAACATTTAAATTGGAAAAGCCAAATAAAGTTAGTCGAGAACAAAGTTTCAAAGACTGTGGGGATTATGTACAGGACAAAACATCTTTTGAATAAAATATGTTTAAAAAACTTATACTTTTCATTTATACATAGTCATATTAACTATTGTAATATTGCCTGGGCAAACAATCATTCATCTTTCCTAAAAAATATTTATACTAAACAAAAGCAAGCAAGTCGATTAGTTTTGGGCGCAGATAGGTACGAAAGTGCCAAGCCGTTACTCAAGGAAATTAATGCGCTAAACGTATACGAACTAAATATATACCATAACTTGTTATTTATGTTTAAACTTCAAAATGAACTAATTCCAAAATATTTTTATAAAGGTTTCTCTCTAATTAACCATAAATATGAAACAAGACACTCAATAAATAATTACTACATCCCACCAACATCACTCAAAAAATCTGACTTCTCAATTACATGTCGGGGGCCACGCTTGTGGAAGTCAGTTCTTGACGACAATATGAAAAAAATAAAATCTATTGATATATTCAAAAGAACTATAAAAAAACACTTACTAAACTCAAACATTACATACATTCTTTCATTTTTTTAAAAATAATATTTTTTTGATAAATTTGATAAAAAGCTTTTTTTTTTTTTTTTTTTTATATATATATATACATATATATCTTTCTTGTTTGATTTTCTCTTTGACTGTTTTTTTTTAACTTTTTTTAATAAATACTAACAAATGAATTTAAATCTACATAACGTTTGGAATCTTTTTAATATATAAATATTTTTGAATATATACTTCGCTTTGTATTGAATATGTATACGTATATGTACTGATTTGTAAAAAAAAATTCAAACTTTTTAATTTACGCATTGTATACATTTTTATTTTTTTATTTCGAGATTTTATTATTATTATTATTATTTTTTTTTTTTCTTTCTAATTTTTACTTTTTTTAATTTTTAATTTATTTTAAACTTTTTAATTTTTTTCAATCTTTTTACTTTATTTCAAACTCTTTAAATTTTTTTATTTTTATTTTAATTTTGTTTGAATGTTTGTTTATTTTTTCAAAATTTTTAATTTAACTCTTTTTTATATTATTGGAATTTTAGAAATTTTATATTTCTCTATTTCACAAAAGGGCTTGATGATAAGACTTTATGTCTTCTACTTGCCCCTGTCAGCTTGTAATTATATATATATTTATTCGAATTTAAAGATAACATTGTAAAATGTGTAAAACGACAAAATAAACTAACTATATGGGTTATAAGATATCTATATTTATAGTTTATATTTATATCTACATCTATACTTACATATTATATCTATATCTATACTTAGTATAGATTACTATATATTATATCTATATCTATACTTAGTATAGATATAAATTATAGATATACATATAGGTTCAATATATATTTATAAGACTCAAAATTTAAAATTCTAATTTGATTTGATTTTAAACATATATAACTTTAACAATATTGTTACAGTTATGTAAGAGTATTATAACCATATTAGTATAACATTGTTCTTGTTATATTAAAAGTTAATATAACAAGAACAATGTTAAACTAATATGAAGTTATATATATATATATATATATATATATATACATATATATATATATATATATATATATATATATATATATATATATATATATATATATATTTATATATAAATATATATATTTATATATATATATATATATATATATATATATATATATATATATATATATATATATGAAAATATTGCTTTATTTGATTATATATATATATATATTATATATAATATATATTATATATATATATATTATATATTATATATATTATATATAAAATGAAAGTATTGCTTTATTTGATTCTGGTATTAGAATTAATGGTAAAGTATATAAGTTTGCTATATCAGCTTTTATTTGTGGTACACCAGCTAGATCATTTATAAACAGAAATAAAGGACATAAAGCCTATTAACAAATGTTATGCAATAATTAATGGCATTAATTTGATATCTATTTTT